CCTTTAATCTAACCCATCTACTTCGCAGTAAATTCCCATTCAAGTTCCTGCCATCCAACTCTGAATTCTTCCATTATTCAAACTCTCCTAATGTACTGGTTGTTCGCTTGCTCTGTAGTAGGTTTTCAGTGAGTTAACTTCACTTCCATGTGTACCATCACCCCTTGGCCTATGTCCCCATCCAACTCGTTACTTGTGTCTCTTGCCTGCTCAACACACAGTAGGGGCTTTGTTAGATTTACATCACCGTGCTGGAAGATTACTGTCATGTCTCCACAGACCAGACCAGATTATCTTTTTGTGTGTTCCTAGAACCCAGTTCCAAGTTTAGACACAGAAGAGAGACATAGGGACTCTTTTCAGATGACCTAAGTGTTATTTGTAATTTGGTTCTGCTAATGAAATGTTCCTGGGTAAACTTTTCTTGTTGTAGTTGTTTCTGGGAAACTTAAATTCCTCATCTTCCTGACATCAAATTTTATTAAAAACAACAACAACACGAAGACTAAGAATTACACTGAAATTCACTATGTGAAGTTCTTTTCTTTTTGTTAAATAAGAAGAGTCTCATGACTCTGAGTCACTCTATTTTTCTTTAAGTTCTAATTTTGGCAGAGATGAAGGACTCTGGAGGATGAAGTCCTAGTGACCCAGTTACAGAGCCCCCAGCAGAGGTTAAAGATCAACATTTTGCCCCAGGTCAGCCAAAGACTGTGAATTCAAGCATTTCACTTTGCCATCTGAACTGTTCCTTTGTTTTTGAGCAAGAGATTAGACTAGTGTTCATATGCACGAATTTTTTGGAGATCAGAGACCCCTGCTGGAAACTATGGATCTTCTCCCTCTGCCCCCAAAGCACAAAAATAGCTTATAAATATAATTCTCAGAGAGCCCAATGTTCTTAAAATCTACCCACAGATTCCCTAGAGGACACTCTAGGATGATTTGAAGGTCTAAAGTATGTGGTTGAAAAAAAAATCTATTTACATCTGCTACTATCAATTAGTTTAAAAACTGTGCGATGGATGATTCTGTTATTTGATGGTAAAACTGTTTTTTGTTCCATTTCCTGGTATCACGAGAGTGTGGGGGTGGCGGGGCTGGATATAGGAACAATCTTCTTTACAGTGGGTATAATATCACTCCCAAGTCATAAATGTCAACCTTGACCCCATTTTTCCTCAAGATTCAGACAAATTATTTTTCCCTAGTATTTTTAAGCTTTCAAAGGCAGTGTCTCTTGCCCTCTCTTAATTCTTTTTATACTAAATATCCCAGTAGCATCTGAAATTCCTCTAGTAAAATGATTTCATGTACAATTTTTTTCATTCACTCAAATTACCCTCTTCAATAGTCCTTTCAAACCAGACCAGGGAATGAGATCATGGCAAAGAGCTGACCAACACAGGGTTGGAGAGAAGTTTTCATTTTCCAGTGTAGTTCTGCTGTTATGAATGCCACCAATGGTGTCAAGAGCTCTGTCCCTAAAGAGAGATACCTCCTGTAGAGTTGTGTTAAACCTGTGGTCAGCTAAGACCCCTAATGATAATCAATCAAGGTTGTCTTCATTCTCTGCTTATTTGAGAACCAAAATAACCTTTCTTAAAGCAAAACTCCCTGTCAATCTCTACCCTCATTCCTCATCATTCCAGATCTTGGAAAGCCTTGAAAATGCCATTCATCATGTCGTCTCCCTTCTCCAAATTTTGTGTCATCTACAAATATACTAAGGCTGCCATCTTGGGCTCCAGAATAATTGGAGCAAAACTATTGACGTGATTTGTCAAATATAAGCTTTGTTCAATTGATTCACTATTTATAATACTTTGCTCAGTTGTTTCCCAACTTAATCCAGTCCAGTTTTAACCACCTGACCTAGAGAACAGGAAGAGCAGATAAACATTATGCTCCGTTTGTGGGCAACGTTTCATTCCTGTCCTTCTGTTCAGTCTCTATTTTACTTCTTCACATAGGCGCACCACACATCCTGGTCTGATGTCTGACCCCTTTCCTTGTGTGTTCTCCGGTGATAGAGAAAAATACCTCCATTGTGTTTCCTGGGTTCCTTTGCTTCCTGCTGCAGCAGCCCTGGCCCAGTCTGCACTTGCCCAGGAGGCTTCTGCACAGTGCCAAGCCTCGGCCCCATGGAGGGGAAGAGTTTGCTTCATGCTCATTAGCATTTGGCAGCAGAGGCATCTCCAGTAATTTCATCAACACTCCTAGAACAAAAATCTTTTCCTTCCATCTCTGAATGAGAGTTTAAAGATACTTGAAACCCAGAGCACACATATGCTTGGGAGCAGCAGAAGGGGTGGAAAGAAAGAAATTATCTGACAATCCTCAGAAGATTTCATAATTAAATTTTAGCATTCTTGCATGTATAACCAAATAAATATTGTTCACAGGAAGAGAAAAATTGATCCAAGCTTATTTCAAAACACAAACTTTTTGGTCAAAACTATCCGTTATTCAGTTGAATGGTATATTATGTAAACTGCATTGGAAACCAAAGAATTTATGGCAAATACTATGCTTAACGTTTTTGGGATAATGTATGATCAACTTCTGAGCCATCTAAACTTTTCCCCTGGAAATAATTCATTTCACAATCAAATAAAGCTAAGGAAAGAAATGTTATAGTCCAAGTGAGTGATTTTTTATTAAAAAAGATATGGCTTTCTTATGTCATTCTGTTAGCATTATAATTATAAAATGAAAGGAATATGGATCAAGATAAACAGACCTTTACTCAAGTGTGGAAAGAGGTTGGCTAATAATTAAATGGGTTGGACATTTTAATTGCTGATTTTTTAAGCATTTGCTTCTGTCATGTGTACAAACCAATATTGGCATTAGATTCTTAACCTTCATTCACAGAGAACTGTCTCAAACAGAGCTGCATTATTTTGCAATTATCTCATGGATAAGAGAGGTGAGGTCTGGAGTCATAGGAACTTTGTGAGCTTGGTGAGGTGCAGTCACCTCTGGCTCAGAAAAAGAGGGGAGGTGGCTGAGTGGGTACTATGTCAGAAGAAACCCTAAGAGCCTCAGGCCCAGGCTTAGTACCGGTACTCTAAATATATGATGACTTTTAGGGAATGATAAAGTCTGAGTGACTCTCTGAAAAGCTAAATGTGACACTTAGCTCCTGCTAACGGAGCTGTGACACAGTTGATCATCCTGTTATATGTTGGGGGGTTATGATGTGTCAGGGCATCTCTTATAACAATATTATCCTTACAGGCTTGAGCAATCTCTTACTTTCTTTTCTGAGTCTAAACCCACCATCCAGGCATTTACCTCATGGATTTGTGAAGCTTAGTACTCATGTGCCTAAGATTCCAGCAGGGTGACTGGTGGGATACTCAGGAAACATCCTTCCTGTTTTTCTCTGAATTGAGACCTCTTTTCCATGTAATTTACAATAATATGAAATAAGAGTCATTTTGTTGCAACAAATCTCTGTACAGTCTTGGGTCAACAGGAATTGTCAGTGATCTGTATTTGCAGATGAAATTAAAGTATTTAAATATTATTACAATGAGTCAAATATTTTTGCAAGATAATGTACCAAGCTCAAGACAGTCATTATTTGCCAAACAGGACTCTGGGACTAGAAGAGTATAATACGCATTCACACATTTCTCAAGTGTGTTTTTGTCCAAGCATGATCAGCGACATCTCTTTCTTTATTAGTTCTAACTGGAGCATTAGTTAGTGATACTTAAAAAATACTCATAAACCAATTTTACAAAATATAAAAAGTATGAAAAACTTCTACATTAAATATCATTATATTTGTACAGTACCAGGTAGGGTCATGTCTTAGCAGAACAGATCCAAGGGAAATACAAGACAATTTTATTGTTTGACTACAATTGTTGTAGTAATGATTTGTCAATATTTACTCTAAATATGAATTAATTTAAAAAATAACTTGAAAATAGATTGTTGTAGAACTGACAAGGTCATATTCCTTCATTAATTCAATCAGTCATTTAAGCAGTATGTATTAATGAGCACCTACTCTTTGTAGGCACAGTGCCTGTGGCTGTAAAGTGAAGTCACATAGTCTCTGATCTCAAAGGGTTTGCTCTAACGAGAGTACTATAAATAAACATACTACATTCACTAGAAGGCAATTGATAGAAGAAGCACTCCAAGTGCAGTGCAGGAGTATCAGAAAGAGCTGCCTAAGCCTACAAAGGGAATAGAGCCACTCTTCAGTGGAGGCAAGGAGACACCCAGGTGTGGGGAGGAAGGTGGCTGGCAGTGAGAACGAAGGTGCAAGGATTAGGGAAGAGCAGGTCACAGGTAAAGCACAAATTAAGAGGCAGGAGAAAGAGCTGGTGAGAAATGAGGCCCAAAAGGTAGGAGAAATCTGTTCATCTGAGCCTGGTAAGCAGGCACAGGGATGACAGTGTCGCTTTTTCCATGCGCTGGCTCAGTTTCCTGGAGAATTTTGAGCAGAGGATTGCAATAATCAGTGAGGAGCTTCAGCTTTCAAAAGAAGATGAACAGTGCTGTGATTGTTTTGTTGTTTACAGATTACAGAAGTGGCACACACACACACACTCTGTCTCTGTCTCTGTCTGTCTCTCTCTCTTTCTCTCTATCTCTATCTCTATTTCTATCTCTTTTGTTCTAAGGAGTTTCAATGATCCTCATTGTAGTCAGGCTGAATGGCACCTGCCAAAAGCAATATTTGAACTACTTGGTACATCAGAATTATAATAAGAGCTTGTGAGCAGATTTTAGTTAATAGTGTTTTAATAGGCTGTGATTCAATTTTTAACAGAGAAGATTTAATAATAAAAGATAGCTTGTCTCTAATGAAGATTTGGCTGAGTGTGTTTTTGTTGCTCAGTGAATTAAAAGGCTGAGAGTCTTGGAGAAAAGCACACATATATACTATTGCAGCTTTCTATTTATTTATCCCTCCCAGCCAAGCAGTGAATCTGCTAAGAAATTTCACGATTTTTTTTTTTTCGTAATTTCAGGAGTTAAACATCTGAAAAGCCAAAACGAGTCAGCTTTCCCTGAAGAAGAAGAAGGTGTAAATGAAAGAGAGGAGACACGGGACCATTAATGACCAGTCTGCACCTGGAAGGCCTCTTGGGAATAGCTGAACTGTTGATTTTTCTGGATGTCCCAGGAAGCCCGCGGCTTGAGTATCAGAAGCGTTCTCCATCTCTGTGTTCCACAAGCTTGCAGCAGTCCTGCACCTCCTGGAACTCTAGAACTAAGTACCATGGGCTACACTCCACATCGCGTTAAAGTTTGCAATGAGCATTTATTTTTTAGGGATTTCCTTTTGAAATTTGCAAACATGTGACTGTTCTAACTTTAATACTGCCAGAGCTTAATCCCATATATTCTCTTGATAGGTTTTGCATTCTAGAGTCAAGTGTAAATAGCATCACTTTAATAGTAAGACATAAATATTTAATACTCTTAGACCTGAGTGTTTATGTGGGGGTTTAACTTAATGAGGAATGTGCAATGAACTTGTAAGACTATCGTGTTTCTGTATGTAGAACAGAGCACAGAACTTATTTCAAAAGTTAAAGAAGAAATGTTAGGTGTTTGTAATTGGAATCCTATAAAAATATATACACATTTTCCTCCTCCATCTGCCCATTGGTGGTTACCTAAAGAACTATAGAACTCTCACTTTCTAGGTTGTGCAAATATATTTCCCAGCATTTAATCTGGTCATTTAGAAAGAAAAGTGCTAACTCTCTAATAAAACATGAAAAATCTCTTCTGCTTCTTTTTTGGTTGTTACTTGAAGTTTAGACCATCTATTTTAATAAATCATTAGCATTTTATGTCTTTCCTATTATAACATAATAAATTCCATTAATTTTTTTTTTTTTTTTGTCTTTTTCGTTTTTATCGGTACCAGGGATCGAACTCACGACTGCCTGCTTGCAAGGCAGGCGCTTATGCCGCTGAGCTAAATCCCCAGCCCCATAAATTCCATTAATTCATCCATGTGCTCATTCATCAATTCAATACCTATTTTTAAAGTGATCTTATCTCTAAAAAGGTACTCTGCTGGCAATTATGAAAAGAAACAAATAAAAATCTTGCTTTGTACACTGACAGTGTAAAGCAAAAGCTTACAAGACAGTATACATCTATAGACTATGATCCTTTGATAACTGGAAGTTCTGTTGTTTTGAATAATTTTAATTATTCATGACACTTCAATGCAAAATATAGAGGGGTGGAGGAATACTCAGTTTGTTTCTTACATTAATATTGATAAACTTCAAATGTCTCTTAAAGGAAAAGAAAAAAATTTCACAAGTTGGAAGAGGATAAATGAAATAAAATGCAAAATTCACTGCAAATTCTTAATACTAAGATTCAAAGAAAATTATTAATTTAGTTCAAATATAAATATTATAATGATTAAGAAAGTTAAGTGAAGCTAAGAGAATGTTGCAGAAATAATGGTTTTTCTTAGCATAGATGTCCCAAGAATGCAAATGCAAAATTCATTGAAAACTGGGATCACATATATGAATAGTATAAATGAACACTGTAATCATTTCCTTCCTCCTCAATGCTCTCCTTCCTTTCTTCCTTCTTTCTTTCCTTCCACATCTCTCTTTTTCTTCCTGACCTTTCATCTGTTTTCCTCTTTCTTCGCCCCGCACCTGCTGTTAAGCCTTTTTCTGCCAGAACTTTCTATTTTAGATCAGTTATGATAATTATTTGTTCGACTTACTAAGTGTCTCTCTACCTGTGTGTAAACTCTGACCAGATCCCCATTTAATTTAAGTGATTTTGAATTCATGTTTCGGGGAAAAAATCCTGATACCTATTGAGAATATTTGAGATGCCAAAGGTAAATAAAGATGAAATTGCCTTTCCCTTTTCTTGAATACACAATTTAATGTGGTTTTTTAAAAAAAGATTTAAGCAGACCAAAAGAAACCAAAGCTTTTGCTGATTTTGTAATATCATTTGTGGAAATAGATAGCATGGATGGCTTCTCCCACTCATTTGGAGTAACTCCTACTGTCCTCCGAGGCAGCCGAAGGGCTCTGATTATGTTTCTGTGTTAAACTTTTTCCTCCACTTTCTCCTCCTCCTCCTCTGCCTCCTTAAATACATCTTTACCTCTTCTGTTTTATGTATTCTTAAAGATTTCAGGATAATTTTAACTCCTCCGTCTCAGCAATTCTTCTGGCTCTCCTTTCTCAAAAAATATAAAAAGGTCAAAATTAAAAGTATCAATATTCTTTCAGAAATGTTTGTTTCTTCTGTTCTCCACTCTCAAAGTATAAAGAAATTGTCGTTCACAGCTTAAGTTTTTCTGGGGAAGTGTGTTGGCTTTCTAAGAAATTTGAAGGAAACCAGCTGAGATCAAGGATTTTCTGTTTCATTTTTTCACAATTATAGTTTACAATAAGAAAGTTTTGTAAGAAGATGACATAGCTGCAGCTTAGCTGAATAAGAAAACTTTCTAACCAAATCAAAAGAAAAATTTATATTGCTCAGATCACATTGATGACATAATATAATTGTTAGTAGACTGAGTCACTGTAACCTGAATTCTGATTCAACCTCTAACCGATTTTGGTCTCTTTCTCTATCTGTAAAATAGGTATAAGTCATACCTAAACTATATTGTTAGGAGACTGAAATGGATGCCCACCCCAGCTTGGTACATTTAATGCGTTATTGGTATGTGTTATTGTTACACTTAGGACCTCAGGAACAGCTGTCTAAATCTTAGCTAATGATCATCCCACTCATTTGGAATAACTCCACTTGTCCTCCAAGGCAACCAAAAGACTCTGATTATGCTTCTGTGTTAAACTTCCTCCTCCTCCTCCTCCTCCTCATTCTCCTCCCTCTCCTGGTCATTCTCCTCCGTCTCCTCCTTCTCCTTCTCCTTCTTGTCCTTCTTAATCCCCGTTAGCTCTTCTGTTTTATGTATTCCTGAAGATTTCAGGATAACTTCAACTCCTTTGTCTCAGCCATTCAGAGCTTGAGAAACCTTCTGATGTCATGGTCTAAGTGTTCTCATTTCTTCATAAAACATCTTCAGGCCACTCACTTTGGGATCCTCTTCAGTCGTTCATACTTCATGTAAGAAAAGTTGTGCCAGGTGAGTGTTGCACATTATCTGTCCCAGCCCCCGTACATGAGAAAGAGGCAAAGGATTGTGTTGGCAGGGCAGGAGTCCAGACCACCGTACTCTCTGTTGCATGATAAATTTGAAACCCTTTTTTTCTTTTCCGAATTGTCAAAGATGAGGGCTGTCTTTAGAAATATATGCCAGTAGTCTTTACATTGTGAAAAATAAGAACAAATTACTTTTATTTTTATAGGTACATATGGTACTGTGATACGTATCAAACTGCATCACCTGCAAACCCAAATCTATGATTTTGTAGCTGTTATTACTTATGATGGAACAGATTTAAGGTAGGAAGATATTTCAAGTCTTTTTAAAGAAAAATATTAGATAACTTTGGTAGAGGTAATACTCCCAAGTCACAGAAGTAATATACATTTAAATGAACTTTCATAAGCACTGGGGTTTGGATATTGCCATAGCAAATGACTTAAGTATTCATTTAACTGCAATATGGATATCTCGTTCATAAATAAACCATGCATATTGCATTAATTTAGAAAGTCTTTAGAAATTTAGATGTTTTTCATCTATGTCTGAAAGCAAACAGTTTAACTGCAGAATGAATAATAGAAAAAGCATGTCTATTTACATGAAAATATTTCTACCAATAGGTAATTCTGAATATTTCTTTTCTCTGAGTAAGGATACAAGAAGAAACATCTGTATTTTTAAGTGGCTGATTTAAAATCTAGTCCTCAAAACTCCAAGAGGTATATTAATTAATAAATATATTGCAGTAAAGTGAAATCTGTTAAAGAAATTAAGCCATTCATTTCATTGCATCATAACATTCTGAACTAAGTGTCTGAGAAGGAACTTTAGAAACATTCCAGGGTAGCACGTGTTGTTTTAAATGACACAGGAAGTAACAAAGGGCTTTGCAAAATTTGGAGATCAATGAGGATAAATGTTTCTACACTTTAACAGTGATGTGTGACTTTAACGACATAACCTCCATGAAAGCCCGCGTGCCAGACTGTTTCGTAAAAGACTGTCATTCAACTGACAGTCATTTTGTGACACACACATTGACTGACACAGCTTCTCCCCCAGCTGCATTTAACCGTTAGTTTATGCTGATGATGGGACTTGGTGTACAGGGTGCAGAAGAATTTAAAGTGGGGAGCAAAGCAGGTGAAGTTAAATTAAAGAAGCTTAGAGACTAAAAGGAAAAACTGGATACAGTAGGTTAAAATGATGTTGGATTCATCTTCATTTTTATTCCTTACTCCACTAATATGACTCTGTATTTTCCCTCTTTCTTTAACTTGTAGTAACCATGAAGCTAATGTAAGGCACTGAGAACAGTAAACCATAGAAGTCTATGGTGCTGCTATCTGAGAATCCTAAATATAACGGAATAGTAGGTGTATTCTGCGAATGGCTTTTCAGAATAACTTAAAGGTAGACAGTCACCAAAGGCTAACCTAACATTCGAGAAAATAAACTTACAAGTTTTGTAGAGCACAAATCACACTAGGCTTTGCTTTCCAGAGCCCAGGCCAGTCTGCAGGTGGGAAAGTTGTTTCCAGCTGGAAAGCATCGTGGGTTCTGGGCTGCATCCTTCATTCTGCAGGTGGGAATACAGGCCTGGAGGATTTTTCTCAGATATGACACTTGAAGTGTCAGGCAGGAAAGCAAATAATAGAAAATCTGCAAAAATGACATCAAAGTTGTTTTTGTCATGCAGTAAAATATCCAGGACTGGCACAGCGCAGCAAGAGGTTCTTTTCTGTTTCCTTCACAGTTTCGGAGCTGTAAGCTTGCTGTCCTAAGAGACCTGCTGCTCGAGGCATCTGGTAGGTTCTGAGCAGAAAGAATAGGGGGAAGACAAGGGCGGAGCATCTGGAGTAAAGAACCAGAAGCCCTCAACTAATGTCTGTGGGCCAGCCCTGTGTCATGGGCAACCCTTCCCCGATGGAAAGGAATTAGGGATACCCCGTGTATTTCACGGGGTATCTTCCACATCTCAACTCACTTACTGTTCTCCTTGTGCAAGTGAGCATTGATACCAGTTGAGTATCAAGTAGTATCAATTTCAAATGAACAGGATTTATGGCTTTTCCTCATATTCCTGGGACGTGGAAGCCCACCTAACTTACACATGTCATGAACTTGAATACATCAATACCTTCCATTTATTTTTGTTAATTAAAATGCATAAATTAGGTAAAGTTTATGAGAGATCTATTGCTGGGTAAAGCCATCCAGATATTTTAATTATCCTATACTCTTTTATAGGATTATTTGGAGTAGATTTACAAATATATTTTGTAAATAAGATGCCAACATTATAGTTCATTAATCAATAAATACCTATCAGTCTCTGACATTCTAGACCCTTTAAATAGTGACGATACAAATATTAACATACACACAGCTATATATATTGTAAAGGGATTAAAATAGGGAATATAGCAGTGGGTGGTATCACCTCTTTGTGATACCAGTGTGAAACCAAGCTGTTCCATTAACTATTCTGAACCTCAGATTTCTGAGCAAAGTACAGTGGAGAGATGATCACGTGATCATGAAAGAAACCTCATGACTCTATAACACATGGCTTCTCACCTCTAAGTCTCTTTCAGGAACTGCAGGAAAG